AATGTTTTTTATTTATTTATTTATTTATTTTAATTTTTTTTTCAACGTTTTTATTTATTTTTGGGACAGAGAGAGACAGAGCATGAACGGGGGAGTATTTATTTTGAGGGAGGGGGGTGTGGGCAGGAGAGGAGCAGAGAGAGAGAGGGAGGGAGAGAGAGAATCCCAAGCAGACTTCGAGCTCTCAGTGCAGAACTTAACACGGGGCTCGATCTCACCAACCATGAGATCGTGACCTGAACCGAGACCAAGAGTTGGCTACTTAAACAACTGAGCCACCCAGGTGTCCCTCCCCAAAGTTATTTCTAATAGTCCTTTTTATCCCTCTAATGTCTACAGGGTCTTTTAGCAATAATTCCTCTTTCCTTTCCTGATAGTGGTAATTTATGTTCTCTCCCTTTTTCTTCTGGTTAGGGGTGTATCAGTTTTGCTCATCTTTTCAGATAACCAGCTCTTAACTTGGTTAATTTTCTCAATTGTTTGTTTTCTATTCTATTGATTTCTGCTTTTTATTATTTTCTTTCTTCTACTTACTTCGGGTTTACTTTGTTCTTCTTTTTCCAACGTTTTGATTCAAGACTTTTCTGCTTCCAGCATTTAGTGCTTAACATGGCTCTGTAAGTACTCTGGTAGCCACAGCCCACGAAGGTTGATACACTGTATTTTTATTATCATGTAATTTGAAGTATTTTATAATCTCCCTTGTGATTTTTTCTTCGATATATATGTTACAGTGAGAAGTATGCTGCTTAATTTCCAGATACTTTGGGGCTTTTTCTAAATATTGATTCTTTTAAAGTTTATTTATTTTGAGAAAGAGAGGGAGCGTGTGTGCGCACACCCACACACACGTGAGCAGGGGAGAGGCAGAGGGAGAGGGAGAGAGAAAGAAAATCCTAAGCAGGCTCTGCGCTGTCAGTCCAGAGCCCTATGCAGGGTTTGATCCCAGGAACCATGAGATCATGATCTGAGCCAAAATCGAGAGTCTGATGCTCAACTGACTGAGCCACCCAGGTGCCCCAGTATTGATTTCTAATCTATTTCCATTGTGGACAGAGGACATATGAACTCGTCTTTTAAAATGGGCTGACACTTGTTTTATGACCCAACACACAGTCTATGTTGGTGAATGCACCATGTGCATTTGAAAAGATGGGTGTAGTGTTGGGTATAGTGTTCTAGAAATACACATTGCATCGAAGTGTTTGTGATTGGGCCAAAGTGTTGTTCACATCTTCTGTGTCACTACTGAATTTTTGTCTTGTTCTCTTCACAGCTGAAAATGAAATGTTAAGGGGCGCCTGGGTGGCTCGGTCGGTTAAGCGGCCGACTTCGGCTCAGGTCACAATCTCGCGGTCCGTGAGTTCGAGCCCTGCATCGGGCTCTGTGCTGACAGCTCAGAGCCTGGAGCCTGTTTCAGATTCTGTGTCTCCCTCTCTCTGACCCTCCCCTGTTCATGCTCTGTCTCTCCCTGTCTCAAAAATAAATAAATGTTAAAAAAAAATTAAAAAAAAAAGGAAAATGAAATGTTAAAAATCTCCAGCTATAATTGTTATCTTTTCTGCATTTAATTCTGTTGATTTTTGCTTCCATGTAATTTGAAACTCTATTAATTAGGTGCACACACAATATGAGTATTATTTCCTCTTGTTGAATTGACCTTTTTTATTGTTATGAAATGTCCCTCATTATTCCTGGTAATATTTCTTGTTCTGAAAGCTATGTTGTTTGATACTAATCTGGCTACTCCAGTTTTCTTTTGACTAGTGCTTGCATGGTGTATCTTTTCCTGTCCGTTTATTTTCAACTTGTATCTTTTTATATTTAAAGTGCATCTCTCCTGCTCAACCATAAAAAAGGATGAGAATTTGCCATTTGCAACATGGATGGATCTAGAGGGTATCATGCTAAGTGAAATAGTTCAGACAGGGAAAGACAAATACTGTATGATTTTACTTTAACGTGGAATCTAAAACCTGAAAGTAACGAGTAAACAAGCAAGCCAACAGAAAGCAGAATCAGACCTACAAATACAGAGAACAGAGTGATGGTTGCCAGAGGAGAGAGGGGTGGGGGACAGACACAATGGGTAAAGGGGTGTGAGAGATACAGGCTTCCAGTTAGAGAGTGAATGCCTCATGGGAATAAGAGGCACAGCATAGGGGATACAGTCAAGGTTCTGTGATAGTGTGGTGTGGTGACAGATGGTAGCCACTCTTATGGTGAGTGTAGCATATAGAGTTGTTGAATCACTATATTGTACACTTGAAACGAATGTAACATTGTGTGTCAGTCAGCTCGCCTCGGAAAAGACATGATTCATCTTCCTTTTGATAAAAACTTGATAGCTGAAGAAAAAGATAAAGTGGATCTCTTAAAGATAAGTATATTCCATGAATTATTTGTTTCAGATTATTGTTTTTTTTAGTTCCGGAATTTACATTTTTAAAGTAGTTTTTGTTTCCTATCTTGGGTTTCCTATCTTCTCATTCCTTACCGGAAGATTTTATCTATCTCATAAAGCATAGATATAATATCCACTTTCTTTTTTCCTTTCCTTTTCTTTTCTTCCTTCCTTCCTTCCTTCCTTCCTTCCTTCCTTCCTTCCTTCCTTTCATCCTTCTTTTCTTTCTCTTCTTTTTTCTTTTTTGAGAGAGAGAGGGTGCAAATGAGCGAAGGGCAGAGAGAGAGAGAGAATCCCATGGGGGGCAGAGAGGGAGAGAGAGTGAGGGAGAGAGAGAGAAGTGGGGCTCACCCATAGCAGGGCTCACACTCACCAACCATGACATCAAGACCTGAGCCAAAGTCTGATGCTTGACTGATAGAGCCACCCAGGTGCCTCTGTAATATCCATGTAATATCCACTTTAAAATCCTTATCTGCTGGGGTGTCTGGGTGGCTCATTCGGTTAAGATCTCAGCTTGAGATCTCAGCTCGGGTCTTGACCTCAGGGTTGTGAGTTCAAGCCCCATGTTGGGCTCTGTGCTGGGTGTGAAACCAACTTAAAATAAGATAAGATAGAATCCTTATCTGCCAGTTTTAAAATTTGGGTCATCTTCGAGTTGGTCTTATCTTTTTTCTTGAGAAGGTGTCACATTTTCCAGTTTCCTCACATATTCAATAATTTTGGATTGTATGCTGGGTATTGGAAATGTGTTGATTTTGGATTCTTGTATATTCCTCCAAAGAGTGCTTTATTTCAAGTTTGTTCATTTGTTTGTTTTTAATTTTAGCACCAATAGATTTGGTTTGACTAAAACCACAAATTCTGTCCTTTAAGGACATTTGAAATCTCTGTCCAATATTTTTTGGCCTTAGCTGTGCTCTTTGGGGTCTGCTCTGTGCACACATGGTTCAAGAGTCAGCCTAAGATTGGGGCCAAATTTATGCACAGAATTTGAGTCTCCCCTTTTCTGGCTCTTTCATTTCTGTGGTGCCCACCCACCTCACTTTCCAGTGACAGTGATTGCCCCAAACTCTGTCCCTTGGTTCCTCAAGTCAAAAAGATGGCAGATACTCTACTTTTTGCTGTGCTCAGACCTTTCTCTAAAAGGCAGCGTGGTGAATAGAGGTAGCTGTGTGTGTATGTGTGTTCCTTTTGGTGTCAGAGCTATATGGTGTGTTGTGGGCCAGGTGGGGAACGGAAGAAGGAATATGGCGGTGACAGACAGCAATGGGCAGAGGTTCTTGGGGTTGATGAGATGGGGAGACAGTGTTCAGGTGTGGGTATGTTACGTTCTCCTCTCAAACTTAGCTCCCACTTTGCCAGAGCTTTCCTCTCTCCCGAGCTGAATGGAATTTTGCCCGTGTGGCAACAGGTGGATTTACCAAGGATGCTTATTTGGAACACACACTTCTTTAGCCCGGGGGGCTCCGGGGCGTAAAGTTGAAGGGGACAGAGGATAGGCTTAGGTAGCCTCAGAGGAAAGCTTGTGGGGCCAGACCACCCCAGGGGGTGCTGAGGGCACTGATTAGCATGCTTCATTAGCCTCTAAGGTTTTAAGTGGCTGGGAAAACTGCGTAGGGCATTAAGGCATTATGGGGCAGTGAAGACAAGACATCGGAGAAACGCTGGACAGTGGTTTTTCCATCTTGTCAGTCTCTAAGATGTATTTTATTAGGGGAAGAAACTTGTCCGAATGGGGTTTAGCTCATATTTGCCACTGGTTGTTCAGCTCTGTGGAAATTTTGTGTTCTCTGTGAAGACTTCGAATAGCTAGAGGCAGTGGGGAAAAACTGGGGTCTGGATATTAAAGTGTTTGTCATTATGACATCTTACAAAAATCAGAGAAATCCCCTGTGTCACCGTAGTTTCTGAGTTCCAGCTGGTTTGGGTTTTATTGAAGGGCGAATGAAATAAACCCCTTCCTGTGTTTGTTTTCTAGACATATCTCTCTATGATCTATGTCTTAACATTGTGAATAACTCATAAAAATAAAATATTAGCTCTAATATAATTTCATATCAGGTTTGATCACTTCATCGAAAATGTAGTATGTGTGAAATTTATTCAAGTATTTGAGCATAGCTGTCTGAAATGTTAATGGTATTTTACTGACATGAAAGTTGGATGTTATTTATTAATATATTTTTTAAAGTTTTAATTTAAATTCCAGTCAGTTAACAGAAAGTGTAATACTCGATTCAGGCATACAATGTAGGGATTCAACATTCCATACCTCACCTGGTGCTTATCTCGACAAGTGCATTCTTAATCCCCATCACCTATTTCCCCCACAGCCACCCACCTCCCTTCTGGTAACCATCATTTCTCTATAGTTAAGATTTTAATTAAATAGGTGGTTTTTTTGTTTTTTTTGTTTTTTGTTTTTTTTTTTTTTGCCTGAGTAATCCATTAGCATCGTTCAGAAACAAAAAGTGTAAAAATTAAACAGTGCAGTGTCTCATTCTCAGTTTTGTCTTCTTTTTGTCTAGCTTCCAATTCTCCTCCCCCTTAGGTGACCCTGCTATTTGCTTTACATGTCTTTTGGAGAGAGTGGTGTGTGTGTGTGTGTGTGTGTGTGTGTGTGTGTTTGCTTGCATGTGCTCACGTATGCACATGCGTGCGTGTGTGTGCGTGCACACTTCATTACGTACACACACACAGAAAGAAGACTTTGTTTTCCGTTCTAGTTCCTGGTGCTGAAGTCACGTTTTCATAATGTACACATGAGCATCATTCTTAATCCATTTTGTGGTCTCTGTAAGGCCTGCAGGTATTTTTAAATATCGCATCATTGCATTATTGGATCTATTGCTTTTACTTTCTTAACAGAGTTACATTAATGTGGTTTTATTGTTTTGTAGAAAGGGATTCATTTTCTGGACAGTGGTCTAGTTAAATATTTTACCATTGGTAATTTGATTTTCTAAACCAAAGATTTTGCGATTGATTCTTTTCCTAGAGAACTGACTAGATCAGGAGTTGGAAGTGTAAGAATCTGATAGGAACTACACTCATGATTGCTTAAACTTGTTTTCATTTATTCTCTCTCTTTAAGCCAGGGGAGTATTCTTGAAGACACATGTCTTTCTTCAACATGTTTGCAATATCATTTTGAGAACTAGTGGCAGTTACTTTTTAATTTTGTTACATAATTTTTTAAATGTTTATTTATTTTTGAGAGAGAGAGTCAGAGCTCGAGTTGGGGAGGGGCACAGAGAGAGACACACACAGGATCTGAAGCAGGCTCCAGGCTCTGAGCTGTCAGCACAGAACCCGATGTGACGTGGGGCTCAAACTCGTGAACCTCAAGATCATGATCTGAGATGAAGTTGGTTGCTTAACCAACTGTGTCACCCGGGGGGTCCCTTTTACATAATTAATTATACTCCCATAATGGCTTATTTCATCCTGAGCATTTTGCTTACTTTGTATTCTTGTGTCTAGGCAATGTAAAGAAACAAATTTGCAAGAAAAAAACTTCAGACAAAAAAGGAAGACATCAGAGGGAGTGGCCTCAGTATTCTCCTCTTGAAGATATTAAGCAGCGGAAAGTATTAGATCTCAGAAGATGGTAATCTCTAAAAATTGACTTTTTTCCTTAACCACACTTAACACAATAGCGTTGTCATACTTAATAAAGTTAATAATATTTCCATAGTTTCTAATTCCTAGGCTAAATTTAGGTTTTCCACATTGTTTTGAAGTATTTTCACAACTGGTTGTTCATTGTGGTTCCCAACCATGAACCACACTTAGTGTTTGCTTGTTGTGGCTTGTATGTGTCTCTTAACCTAGAACAGTCTCTACCTCCCTCCCCTCACTTTTGTTTTTTAAATTCTAGGAGATTGACTTCTTTTTTTTTTTTCTCTAATGTTTATTTATTTATTTAGAGAGAGAGTACAGGGAAGGGGCAGAGAGAGAGAAAGAGAGAGAGAGAGAGAGAGAGAGAGAGAGAATCCCAAGCACGCTCCATACTGTCAGTGCAGAGCCCAACAGCGAGGCTCAATCTCGTAAACCGTGAGATCGTGACCTGAGCCAAAATCAAGAGTTGGACACTTAACTGACTGAACCACCCAGGGGCCCCTAGATTAACTTCTTAAAGAGACTTGGCCAGATATCTTGTAGAGTGTCCTACCTTCTGGATTTGTCTGATATTTCCCCCCTGTTGTCTAAATTATTTCTATAGTCTCAGTATTTCCTGACAGCTGGAAGTTAGACATACAGACTTGGTTTAGATTCTGATTGAACATTTTAGGCAACAGCACTGCCTCGGTGACCCTTTGTTCTTCATACTGCATCACATCAGGGAATGCATAGTATCTGGTCGTCCCGTACTAGATTCTAAGACTGATTATCGGATTTAGGCGGTGACAGCGTCAGCCCACATTGTCAAGTTCTTTTTTCTTCCTTTCTGCAACCATCACATAATCAGTGGGGGGGACAGTGGCATCAGGCTAATATCCTGTCCCCATTAACTTTTCACCTAGTGGTTTTAGCCAAACCCATTGATGATTGCTACCTGAATCCTTGCTGGAAAATGGTGATATTTCAAATTTCTTTCATATCTTCTCCCTTTATTAGTTAGTGATCTTCTCCCAATAAGAAGAGCTTTCACTCATCAACTGTGGCTGTTTGGTTACCTTGGAATACAGTTCCTATTTGAAAGAAAAAAAATGTTTAATTAATGATGGCTTTTGGATATTACTAGTCTATGATTTGAGATTAAAACAAATTTTTTTTTACCATTTATTTATTATTGAAAGAGAGAGTCAGAGCCTGAGCAGGGGAGGGGCAGAGGGAGAGAGAGACACAGAATCTGAAGCAGGCTCCAGGCTCTGAGCTGTCAGCACAGAGCCTGACGCAGGGCTTGAACTCACAAACCGTGAGATTATGACCTGAGCCGAAGTCAGAGGCTTAACCAACTGAGCCACCCAGGTGCTCCTATGGGTTGAGATTTTAAAAATTATTTGTGTGAGGTTTAAAAAATCTTAGATTTTATCACCTATTTAATAAATATTGGACCCTTTACTGTGGCCGAGAATACAGAGATACACAAAACATGGTGTTTGTTTTCTCAGAGTTTAAAATGTAGGTGAGAAATGGGGACTAAGCAGAGAAATATAAAATATCTCAGACAAGTTTCAGACAAAGATGGGTATGAATATTCAGACAAGATGGGTATGAATAAACTACCAACATGAGAGGAAATAATGGTCATCAAAAGGCTTCACTGAGGAGCTGGGTCTTAAGAGAGGTATGGAGGAGGGTCCAAAGGTCTTTGCTTGGATGGGAGGAGAGTGTCTTGCGTATTGATAATGAAGATTAGACAGGCTTGTCTGGAGTGAAGTTCAGAAGCTAAGAAACTTACCTAACATCACACGGTGAAGAAGCAGATCTTGTATTAAAACTGAAGAGAGCCAGACTCCAAAGTTCACATTCTTTCTTTGTAACCTGTCATGATCTGTATCTTGGACACCAGGCCAATGATTTAGATTTTTTTGTTGTTGTTCCTGACGTAGAAAGAAGCCCCTGATGATTTCTTAACAAAAGTGTATTTTAAAAGATTAATTGGTAGTAATAAGGATGTAGATTGTATTGGAGAAATGGCATTAGAATCAAAAACAGTAATTTTAGTTTCTTTGGAGAAAGCCTTTGCCCATTTTTTCTTCTAATCCCTTAGACCTAAGATTTGTTTTAACAACAAATTTGGGTAATTGTATTTTAATAGTATAACATGTGAAACCATAAGGCTTGGACGAGGAAGGATAGATGGGAGAAATAACCTGAGGGGAAACACTGTTAGGATGACAAACTCATTTCCCACTGAAGATATTACAAGAGTACGGTTGGAATGGAAACACCCGTAGGAGATAGTAGAAAGTCAGTAAAAGTTTTAGGCTGGTCATGAACAAGACCAGTAAACAAGTTTGGACTGATGAAGAAATATGGAAAATCTTAAGGGTGTCTAGGAGTGACCCTAAGACTTTGTGAAGAGGTGTTTTGGATAGAAGTTGGAGATTTAAATATGACAGAATGAGGTCTGTTTACTCCATTCCTTCTCTCTATTGGGGAGGTAGCTTTCCTCTGCTCTTCAAGGCTCTTTTAGATGGACTTAGAATCAAATTGACATGAGACAGATTAACAGGAGAAAATCAACGTATGTACAGGGAATTCACACAGACATGGAAATTCTAAAGACACTGAGGTAACATGAAGGTTATGTGAGCTAAGGAGAGGGGTAGGAGTCTGCGGATAAGAGGAGGAAGGCGATTAGTAGGGAGATGAAAGGAGATGTTTTGAAAAACAAAAATTACCCTATCATGCAGATAAGTTTCTCAGGTAAAGGGGAGTCTCTGGTTAATAGCTCTCTTCCTGGTAAAGCAGGCAGTTGATGGAGGGCGGGGGGGATAATGAGCTTTTTCTGAATCTGCTGGATTTGGATTGCTTTCAACTCAAAATAATGTTCATGTCAAAGCGACCCATCTTGGGGTGGCCTGCCCTTGGCCTCTATGCCTCAAACCCATGGAAACAATAACAAGAAAATAAAAAATAGGGGAAAACTCTTATCTTCCCTGAAACAAAGAATTAACAATATCCCCAAACCATAGTCTCTAATACATGCTTCTCAAATCCTCTGCACTCTGGACCAACAGGGAGAGGACGCCAAGAACTGCAAAGACTACTATTAGCCTCAAATGGTACAGGTTTCCCTAAAGTTCATGTGGCAGTCCTGAAATCATCCGGTGACCCTTTGGTTAGATCTAGGGGTGTGAGCCACTGCACCAGGGGAGGAACATCAGAGTTCTTGATGGAGATCCAGTTCAGCACTACAGAAATGCAGGTAGGGGTTGTAGAAGGAGACATCCTGCTCCTCTGATCGCTACTGGATTATTTTACTTCCTAATTTCTAGCTAAGGACAGTGCCTCTAGTGAATTGCTGGGAAGGTAGTGATGGCAAGAGTGGAACGTAGGCCACCCACTTCCTGATTTCAAAACCTCCCAGAGCTACATAATCAAAACAGTGTGATCCTGGCATAAAGACAGATATGTAGACAAATGGGTCAGAATAGAAAGCCCAGAGAGAAACACTCATGTACATGGGCAAACAATCTTCTGTAAGGGTGCCAAGCCCATGGAATAGAGAAAGGACAGTCTTTTCAGCAAATGGTGCTGGGAAAAGTGGATATCCACCTGCAAAAGAATGAACTTGACCCTGCTGATCAAAAATTAACTCAAAATAGATTAAAGACATAAATGTAAAGACCTAAAACTATGAAACTAGAAGAAAACTTAGGGGGAAATTTCATGACATTGAATTTGACAACGATATCTGAGATATGACAGCAAAAGCACAGGTAACAAAAGCAAAAATAGACAAATAGAATCATATCAAGCCTTAAAACTTCTGTGCATCAAAGAAAACCATCAACAAAGTGAAAAGGCATCCTACAGAATGGGAGAAAATATTTTGCAGATCATACATCTGGTAAGGGGTTAATATCCAGAATATGTAAAGGACTCCTACAATTCAACAACAAAAATACCAAAGAACCCAATTAAAAAATGGGCAAAAGACTTGAACAGACATTTCTCCAAAGAATATGCAAATGGCCAGCAAGCATACAAAAAGATGGTCAACACCATTAATTGTCAGAGAAATGGCAAATCAAAATTGCAATATGGTATTTCCTCACACCTAGTAGGATGGCCACTGTGAAAAAAGCCAGAAAATAATAGTTGTTGGCAAGAATGTGGAGAAATCAGAACTTTTGTGTGCTGTCGGTAGGAATATAAAAATCTAATATAGTACAGCCCCTATGGAAGATAGTGTGGAAGTTTCTCGAAAAGTTAAAAATAGAATGTGTGTTGTGGCTGAATGTGTCTCCCCCCAATTCATATATTGGAATCCTAACCCCCAATGTGATGGTATTAAGAGATGGGGCCTTTGGGAGGTGATTGGGTCATGAAGGGGGAGCCCCCATGAATGGGATTCATGCCTTGTAAAGGACAGGAAGTGGGAGATTGCTTCCTCCTCTGTCTCTGCTCCATCGTGTGAGGACACAATGAGAGGATGGCCATATGCAGTTTCTCCCCAGACATTAGATTCATTGGCACCTCAGTTTTGGACTTCTTAGCCTCTAGAACTATAGGAAATAAATAATTGTTTGTTGTTGAAGCCACTAAGTCTGTCATAATTTGTTATAGCAGCCTGAGCTGACTAAGATACCATATGATCCCGTAATCCCACTTCTGGGTATATATCCAAAAGAATTGAAAGCAGGATCTTGAAGAGATATTTGCATACTGTGTTCATTGCAGCATTATTCACAATAGCTGGGAAGGGGAAACAGCCCAAGTGTCCATTGATAGTTGAAGGAATAAAGAAAATGTGGTATATACACACAATGGAATATTAATTCAGCCTTAAAATAGAAGGAATTCTGACACACGGTACAACATGGATGAACTTTGAGGACATTATGCTAGGTGAAATAAGCCAGACACAAAAAGACTAATAATGTGTGATTCCATTTGTAAGAGGTACTTAAGAGTTGTCAAAATGAAAGAGAA